CCTCACCAACCCCTTGCAGTTACTTCCAATTGACATACGTTGGAAATTGTAAAGGAAAATCGCAACGTGGTTTGGTTATTTTGTCCTCTAGTTGATTTTGAAGACATTTTGTAAAGAATAAAATGGATTAAGCATATTTTTTTTATATATATAAATAAAATTTATTAATATTACGATAAGATTCTACACATATAGACCACCGTCCTAACCAAATGATTTCTAGCGTAACGGTATTAGGTGATACACTCCTTCCTTGAAGTCGAAGGTTCAAGTCCCGTCGTGAACATAGATGAAATTAAATGTTAATTTAAGAGTATGTTATATATTTATATTTGCTGGTTAAGAATGCAAATATAATTAGCAACGGAACACTGACAAAGCCACTTGATTACAATGGATTAGTGATGGATTTCCGTAGAATTTTCTTGATACATAAAAAAAAGTCCAGACCCCTTGACGACACGAGTCATGTACGGTTACACACCTCGTACCTCTTATAGACCGAACTCGCAAATGGGCCAATCCCATCTCTTCTGATTTTAACTTCTAACCACTAAACAACTCATCAAATGAACTAATGAAGCCTCATAGCTTTATTCAAAGCTTATCCGGTTTGTAAGCTCAATATGATGACTCTCTACAAAGCTATATTAATTTCTGCCTACATGGAGGTTGGGACAGAGACCAGGCCTCTTTGTCTTCCAACACTACCATTTATAAGTTTATACCATCATTCTTTTTTATGTTTTTTTTTCAAAAGAGTCATTCTTTTGTATGTTCTGAGTTAAAAAAATGAATTTGACAAAATATGTTTGCTTCTCATGTTTGTATATCATTCTTTGAGTTAGATTGCTATGATTTTTGCATGTCACGTAGAAGTCGCAAAAGATTAAACAACATATCAGATGTTACGCTTTGGTGACTTCACGTCCTGTGCTATGTGACAAAATATATTTAGTTTGATTTGATTTGGTCTATCTTATTTATTTTTTTAAGGGTTGATTAGTGGTTAGAAGTTAAAATCAAAAAGTTAGTTAATTCGTCTACGTCCGTGTGTGCACCCGGAACCTCCAATCTAAGAGGCTTCCACCTCTACCAAGTGGACTAATCCTACATTGGCCGGTCTATCTTAATTGCACGTTTGATTCTAAGTTATAAGCTATAGGGTTTATTGAACATAAAGATTTACGGGATGATATATGAAGAATATGATGGCAAGTTGGGCTGAATCCAAAAAAATGTCTAACCACATGGACAGAGATTGTAATTTATCATTAATAATATGAGTGAAATTAAAAATAATATATATAAGGTCCATGTCAGCTACATTTTGGGTGTATCTGGCAGAACTAGCTGATAGCCGGAAGCTGAAAGCTAGAAAATATAGCTTTTATTTATGTAGAAGTGTTTAACAAAAGTAATTGTTAGCTTTTAAATGGACAAAATTGCAAAAATGATCCTTTTGGTTGTAAAAAATATGTGATTTAGTCCAAAAATGTTTGTTGGTATATCAGTGGTCCAATTTGAGATGCTGGTTTTGATCCCTATCAACTTAAAAGGACTATTATAGCAGCTCCTTTTCTTGCCCATATCTAAACCCAGTGATGCAAGGGGTGCTCAAACCCACAAATTAAACCCAAACATTATGCCCAAAACAAACCCAAAAAAGTAAACTCAGAAATCATTGATGAAATCAAATCAAACCCCAACTCCATCTCCAACTATAAGCAATCGACTCAAGACTTGATCTCCATTATTTTCTTCTTTAATTTATGTTACAAGTAAACCATAAGAACCCGATCTATTTTCTCTCGCTCTCTACTCCACTATCGACTTTTATTTTGGCTCCTAAAACCAGATAGGAAACGATTTTCGGTTTCGATTTTAATGGAAATTTTGATATGTGGACTTCAATTTTCGGATTTAAGTTCGTCAGAAAGCACTTTTGCAGTGAAACGACTCAACCATCAACAACTCCATCGATCTAAGGTGGAGGTCAATGCATGCAGAGAAGGAAACATGCGAAGATGGAGATTTGGGACGTCTTCCATCTTGAAAGCGTAGGAGATGGAGATGTAGGCACCATAAAAATGTCCATCGAAAAAGGATGCTTCGATGAAGTTGGCGCCGGTGAAGCCAGGGTTCTAGCTGAAGATATGGTGGTAGTGGGTGTGGATTTGATTTTGTTTTTGGTGGTGGTGGTTTCAATTGGGAAGATGACGTCCAGAATGTGTGTGAGAGAGGGTTGGGTTTAATTTATTTTTATTTTTTTAATTGTAAGAATAATAAAATATATAAAAGAAATTAAAAAATAATTAGTGAAGGGGCATATTAGTTATTTTAGCTTGGTTGGGTGTGGACCAAAAACACAAAAAAATACCAATTATAGGGGCCATTTTTGCAAAATCAGTTAAAAACTAGACAAAATTGCAAAAATGGTCCCCGTTTTTAGGAAACACGTCCAAATCTCTCAAAATTTGTAGAAATAGTCATTTTCAGCTAGTTTGTTACTTAATTGGTCATTTCGAAAAATGAAATGACCGTAATACCCTTGATATATTTATTTTTCATTTTTCTTTCATTTTTATAAGTTATTATTATTATTAAATATAGAAAAAGGTTCACATCTCTATCTCTCTCTCCCTCCCTCTCTCTCTCTCAAGAAAACACAATTAATAACACATACACGCTCCATATTTTTTTAGGTTTTTTTTACAAAATAAACACCCACACTCATGGATCCGAAATCGTTTTCGGGCCAAAAAACTCAGAAATCAAATATGAAATCATTAGTTCTTCAAATCATTTCTAAAAGAAAAACACCCTAGAAATCGAGAGTGGGAGGTAGCTGACGAATGATAGGGTTTGATTGCAGTGGAAGTAGTGATGATGAGGATGAGGTTACAATCAGATCTAAGCAGACCTATGAGAGAGAGAGAGAGATGGAGAAGTGGCGACAGGGTCGGTAGTGACAGAGTGCAGATCGGCAACGATGGAGGTCCTACACCGGTGAGTGGCAACGATCCGACTATGGTGGTTGTAGAACAATGCCATGTCTGTCTTTGTTCTTGTTGCTTCATGATTTCATCTTCTCTCATCACATTATCAATATAAATTGTTGTTCTAAGTTTCATTTTGGATATCGATTTGAGAATGATAAAATTCACAATGAAAGATGCTCAAAAGGGCCATTTATCCAAATTTGTCAAGGTTTAGACCAAAACCCGAAAAACGCAAACCATGGGGGCTATTTTTGTAGTTTGGTTAAAAATTAAAAGTTAAAAGATCCAAAAAAAACTAAGAAGTAACTTTTGAATTCCAAGTATTCTGTTTAAAACAAAAATTAAAAGATTCTAATGTCAAACGATTTTTTTTTTTTGAGTTTTTTTTTAAAAATTAAAAGTTAAAAACTCCAAAAGTCTCGGTGCCAAACACACTTATAATCCTTTGTAACGTCTATAAGTTTTTATCTGTGAATTAGTTTCATGTCAATTTATCAAATAATTGGAGCTGAATACCTGAGTGGGGAGATTTCATTAGCAAAACATTATGATAAAACTGAAAAAAAAAATGGACACTGTGGATTGGTTACCTATAAACAACATTAACCCATAAACATGACACACAAAGGGCATTTTTGTAATAAACTCTTAAATATAATTCTTTTTTTCTGAATATTTAATTTTAAATGATTAAAAAAATCAACATTTCATTATGGCGGTCAGTTTTCGGAATAAAATGAAAATATCTTTTTCTTAAGAAAAAAAAAGACTTGTTTTAAAGAATGAGAAATTAGAAGTCGATAGTAACACACCTCTCTCTATTCAGGTTCACTCACTTTGATACTGGCTATATTCACCACACGTTCCCCTCTCTCCCGGGAACATCGGAGAACACTGCAATCGAGCATCTCATTTCTTGACCTGTGCAAGTTAAGGTAATTCTAGACAACTTCATGTTATGTTTTCTGCTAATCCTTTATGTAAAACTTTGTTTTATTGATGTGATTTTTTTTCTGTGAATTACGAATTGTTTATCAGTTGATTCATTGATTGATTGTTGTAGCTCTTTCAGTATATTGCGATCATAATTTACAATACAGTTACTGGATATCCGATCGCATTCTGATGAAGCTTTCGTTTCCTACGTTATGTGTTCGTTCGGAAAGCATTTTTGCTGTTGCTGGTGATTATGTTCCTTTGACTGAAAGAGGATCAACGACGATTTAACTTGTTATTTTGCTTTCAATGTTGTTTTCGCGATAGTCTCACCTACATTATTTATGATACTCTGAAAATAACTATCGTTGTTCATTCATGGTAGGGTTGGAGGAGTTGTGATAGTTTAATCATCGATTCAACGTATGATATTGTTTTTTTTTCCACCGCAATCTTGTGTAAATTACCAATAATAGTTTGAATTTAAGTAGGATTTGAACAGTGATTGTTAGTTTTATGCCAAGTTTGGGAGGCATATAAATTTATTTCTCAAAATTTGACTTGGAGCAAATTTACCTTGATTTGAAGTTTTAGAAGATAGTATGGTAACTTCAAACCTTGGATACAGGCATTCAAACATTACAGTAAGCTATTGTTTAGGAGAATATAATTGGAGCTCATGTAGCTCAAACTTTGAACTGACTTTATAAATCCTGTAAGCATCACAATTGATGCCTCTTATGAAGATTTTGATATAACTTACCTTTCCATTAGTTCTTTGATTCGTAATTAGTGAATTTGGACCTTTTAAGTGGAAAAACCTTTACACCTGTATCTGTATTGATGAACAACCATGAACCAATCACCAATGTACATGCTATGTTCTGAAACCTTTCTATTTTGTTAGTTGCTTTAATTATAGTTCTCTCATCTTTTTTTTTTCCTTTCCAGGAATTTTAGGGTAGCAATCCACACGATACAAGTGCTATTCCAACAATTTTGTTGTTTAGTGATTGTCTGTCAACGTATGTGATGCTATTTCCTGCAAGCAAAGAAAGCTAAATGATGGCTACAACTGCAGTAATTGGACTAAGGGCAGGTGAAAGGCTATTAGGTTCATCTTCTTACTACTCTGATGTTAATGAAAAGCTGTCATGCAGCACTGATCTTGGGTTCATATCTGTCCCAAATAAGAACATGATTACTGCAAAAAGGTCATCCAATTATGGCCATGGTTTCATATCCAATCGTCATAATCAAGACACACATTACATCAGAGCTCTAAAAGAACATGTTGATATTGCTTCTGATCCTTCCAGTATACACCCATGGGTTCAGGGATCTGAGCACTTGAAAGAGGAAGATTCTTGTCAAGACTTTTCAGTTGAAGCCTTACTCTTATTCCAAAAATCTTTGTTAGAAAAGCAATGGAATCTTTCAAACGAGGGGGCATTGACTACAGTTAACCCAACAGATAAAAGCAGCAGAAAGATGTATGTCAGTGGTTCAGGGAAATCTGCACGTAGGCGTAGAATAGATGCTCAAAAGAAAACACCAAATAAAAGATGTATCAGATTTGTAATCAGTCCAGATCTGCTCCAAAATCGTGCAATAGGCAATGTTAAAGGGATAACAAGTGATTCTTTGCTCACTCATGCTGAGGTGGTGGTTTTATCTAAAAAGATAAAAATCGGTCAACATTTAGAAGAGCAGAAGTCAAGGTAACTAAATTTCCTAGCATTCTTTCTTTTTTTAAATACTATCAAATGGCCTTCAAATAGTTTTGATGAGCTTGTTTGTTATGGATTTTCAGATTGAAGGAAAGATTGGGATCTGAACCCTCAGAGGATCAACTTGCAGCATCAATGAAGATCCCACGAGCTGAGCTGCAAGTCAAACAGATTGAATGCAAATTGGCAAGAGAGAAGCTGGCCATGAGCAATGTCCGTTTAGTAATGTCAGTTGCACAAAAGTATGCACACATGGGAGTTGAAATCGGTGACCTAATTCAGGTAGCTGTTATCTTCATCAATGTCAACTTAAAGAGGCAATGTACTTTCTATTTTGTTTTTCTTATAGCATTGTACTTTCAAAGTATTTCTTATAAGGGAATTGTAGTTTAAAAAATTTACCCATTATAGCAATGGATGACCGGATGACTTGAATTATAATGACATGTCACAAGTTTATAGGGTCTATATGCTATATAGGATGTCCACGTGTAATTACTATTCACCTGACAAAAGCTACTAAATTGTTTCTATAAAGAAATGTTCACCTTAGATTTTTTTTACTAATAGCATCAAATTTTTTATATTTACACAAGTTTACAAAAGTTAAATATGAACTAAACATGATCACAGATGATCACTAAACTTCTTTTTCCCTGTCAGCTCTAAATTACATATGGACATCCTATGTGGACAATGACATGTCATAAAAACCTATTAACTTGTGTCATGTTATCATAATTCAAATCATCATATTACCTGTTGCTATAATGGGTAAACTTTTTGAAGTACAATGCTTTAGTTTGAAAGTACAATGTTGTAATAAGGAAAAATAAAAGTACAATGATAAGGAAAAAATTTAAAGTACATTTTGCTAATTCTTGCATTTATTCCAAACTTTAATTCATAACTCCACAATTTTATCTGTAGGGAGGTCTAATTGGACTGCTCCGTGGGATAGAAAAATATGATTCATCAAGGGGGTTCAAGATTTCTACTTATGTTTATTGGTGGATACGACAGGTGAGGTCACTAAATCCACTTTAAATATAGTTACTTCAGTTACTATATATGGTAAATTTTTTAATTGTCTTTAATTTCAGGGTGTTTCCAAAGCATTAATCGAAAATTCTAGGACACTAAGATTGCCTATCCATATGCATGAAAGATTGAGTGCAATACGAAATGCTAAGGCTAAGCTTGAGGAAAAAGGAATAACACCATCAATAGAAGTAAGTTAAAAGTAATGTTACACTTGTTGTATTAATCTTAAGGTTTAGCTAATGAGTTTCTTTTTGATATAGAAAATTGCAGAAACCCTGAAAATGTCAACAAAGAAAGTATTGAATGCCACTGAGGTACTTGAAGTATTCAATGAACTTGTTTTTTATTGAGCTTTGTTTATTTTTCATTATGTTAATATTTAGACCCTTTCTTGTAGGCAAAATGCAAAGTGTTCTCACTTGATAGGCCAGCATTCCCTTCTATAAATGGTAATCCAGGGGATACCTTCCAGAGTGTAAGTATTGTTATAGCTCTCGTTCTTTAAGGACAAAATCCAAAAAAAAAATCTTGCAGTTTTTCCATTTTATCTATTTTTCCACTTAACTATTTTATTTTTTAAACTGTCAAAAAAGTAAAAAGGCTTAATCACTATGGCTAAATCGATGAAATGATGATAGTACATTGCCCTTTTTTGTATTTTTTTTCATTTTGAGACTTGTTTTGTTACTGTTGCAGTACATGGCAGATGACCACCCAGGGAACGACCCTTGGCATGGAGTAGATCATGGCGCTCTCAAGGTACTTCCCAAATTCACTCTCAAATCAATGCAAATGACCAAAATACCCTTACATATTGTTGTATTTGATATATTTATCATTTTACAGGATGAAGTGAACAAGTTGATGACCACAACTCTAAGGGAAAGGGAGAGAGAGATCATTCGTTTGTACTATGGTCTCGATAACGAGTTCCTTACTTGGGAAGATATTAGTAGAAGGTGCAATGCAGTCTGTTTTTTATTACAAAGATGAGGAGGGCATTTGTGTCTTTTTTTCACACATGAGAGATGTGGTCTAGTCAGTAGTCCCTGTCCCTGTCCCTCCTTATACTACCTTTTTGGGTGGGACAAAAAATTGTTATCTTTTCTGTCTCATTGACATCCGTCTCAGTCACTTCAACATGTAAATTTTGTCCCATTGATGTGGTATTCCACAAGTTATGTTATGTCATGTCTTGTTATGCATAACAAACAAGTCCTTATTCCTTAATTTATATAATATTGTGTTGCAGGATGGGGTTGTCGAGAGAAAGAGTTAGGCAGGTGGGGCTTGTTGCACTAGAGAAACTAAAACATGCTGCACGGAAGACAAATCTGGAGGCTATGCTAGTGGAACAGTGAAAAAAGCTGTATCAATTGCCTGTATATACAAATCATCCATACATACATATATACATATACATATAATATATACGGTGTATGTAATAGTGTAAATCCTTGATATTTTACGATAATACTTTTATACCGTGTGAAAATAATGATTTTTTTTAGTGAAACTGTATTTAAATTTACACGTTTCTTACTTTTATACCGTGTGAGAGTGACACTTTTTAATTTTTCCAAAACTTGGGAAATCATACTATGGTGGTAAAGATTTTTTATTATGTCTTTATTGATGTATTTTTACAACTTATGATACAATATCCAATTTATTAGCCAATTGCCATATTTAGGTTACGCTAGAATAGTCTTTTTATTGAGTTTGTTTGAAAGGAGAATGAAGCATTTCCTTATAAGGGGTGTAGATACCTTTCTTGTCATAACGCGTTTAAAGTCGTGATGGCAGTAGATCCCATAAGAACTCTGTAGTTAAGCGTGCCCGGACGAGAGCAATTTAGGGATGGATGACCCATTGGGAAGTTTTCGTGCCGGGGGCCCAAAGTGGACAATATTGTGATACGTGTCAGAGGGGATGTTACAAATGGTATCATAGCTAGGGCACGGGTCGATGTGTTCGACATGGACATTGAACCCTATACTGGGGGGTGAAGGTCGGTGGCTACCTGCACTTGATCCCACATCGGCTGAGAATGAGAACTAAGCATTCATTATAAGGGGTGTGGATACCTTCCTTATTACAACACGTTTTAAAGCTGTAAGGGCAACAATCTCATATTAACTCTACAGTTAAACGTGCCCGTACGAGAGCAATTCACGGATGGGTGACCCCTGAGAAGTTTTCGTGCCGGGATCCCAAAGAAGACAATATTGTGATACGTGTTAGACGGGGATATTACACTCACCCTCAAAACCATAATGCTACAACGATAAACATTGAGAGTGTCTCACAAAAAAATGTGAGCCTAACTATGCCTTAGTATAAATATCCACAATCTACATAGATGATTGGGCATAAGATAAAATGATTGTTCCAAGTGAATATGATGAGTAATGAAATGACAATACATGTCAATATGCTTGGTTCTCACGTAAAAAACTGAATTTTATGTAATCTACATCACACTACAATTGTTACAATGTAATATAGTAGGACATGATATCTCAATAACCATAACCACGAGTAACTAACATTAAAAAAAAAAGGATATCACAAGTAAGGTTCCATCGGTGATTGGTTGGTCTATGACCATATAAGGTTCCACCGATGATTGGTCATTGTCATATCATCGATGTTATGTATATATTATACCTAGATATATTATACCGGTGACAAATGATATATATATATATATATATATATATATATATATATATATATATATATATATATATATATATATATATATATATATATATATATATCTTAGGTTTTTGAGCTTATATTTATGTAAATATGTGTTTTTATGGTTGAATGTTTATTTTTGAATTGTGTTTTATGTGTTTTGTTTCCTTATTTAAGTGTTTGATTTAGAATAATCAAAATACATAGTTAGATATATAGATATACCGATTATATAATAAATAACTAGTCACCATTATTTTTGAATTGTTATTCGCGAAATTCATAAAAATATTTTGATTTCTCCTTATCAATCCATGCATGTTATTTGTCCATCTCCTTTTGAACCACACATAAAATCGATAAACTAGCTTCCATTTTTACATTCGTCATCCAAAGTTTGGTGTCTTTTTATTACATTTTTGGTTGTTTGTATCCACATCTTCTTTGCGATTCTGGACAATCGTGTTAATAGAAGCATGCATCTTCTAATATTAGTTGTCATCGGAAGAGCTGTTAGAAATTTGGGGTTTGAGAGATTGTTTGGAATTCTGATAATCGAGAAAAACACTTTCAAATTAAAGTATTTCGGTGGTACTTCCGAAATCAACAATTAAATAAGACTCATAAAATGAGATGCAAGAAAAGAGAATGTTATTGATACAAATTTCGTATGTAACATAATTATGACCAAAAAACTGGTTTTATATCTATGTCAAATGGTTGGACCCCAGCCAGGGGCTCTGCCCCTTGGACCCTGCCAAGGGCTGTCGCCCCTCGTGCCCGTTACCAGGGGCGCTGCCCCCGAACCTCTGTTCGTTCAAGAGTTTCTCCCATAAATGACAGTCTACTTTGAATCTTGAACAAACTTAAACAAGTGTGCATTACGCACCACCATTACGTGTTTAATGTTTATTAAGATTATTTTTGGTCAACAATTTAATTCATTACACTTAAATAATATTAATAAAACAAATCACCAACAAGAGTTAGAATTTGCAAGTTGGTTAACTATATAGACAACTTTGCACCCGTTAGAAGACATTTTAATGTAAACATTTTTGTGTTGGGTTGGAGAAAGTGTTTGATGGAAGATGGTCTGTTAAGTTATTGTTTTAACAACTTTAATAAAGAGGTTGTTAGGTGGGAGTACGATTAGTATTAGGTGGTGACAAGTAGAGCTGCCAAAAATCAATCCAGTCCACCAATCCAATCCGAACCCAACCCAAAATTAACAGGTTGGGTTGAGATTTTAAACCTATTTAGGTTAAATGGGTCAAGCCGTCTAACTCATTTAATTAAATAGGTTGGGTTGGGTAAAAGTTATCAACCCGTTTTCAACCCACCAACCCATTCAACTTTAATATATATTTAATTTATTATTTATTTAAATATTACCATGTACTAATCTAAGTATTAATTTATTATTACAATGTTGTATTGTTATTTTTTTTAAATGCAATCTTAATTCTTTATCTTTTTTCTTTGTGCCGACAACACTATTTACTCTTCAAAATCAATTCGAAATTACATATCTTTAATGTTTTTTGAACAATTTCTTTGTATTTGTGAATCAGGATTGTGTTTTTATTATACTTTGAAAGTTTATTTAAGTTTGGAACTAATTTAATTGGTGTAATCTTTAGTTATTTTATTACTTTTTTATTTTAAATAGGATAACCTAAGTTTAACCTATTTATTTAATAGGTTGGGTTGGAAATTAAATAAACGGGTCAACCCGGTGACAACTCATTTATCTGAAAGGTTGGATTGGGTTGAAAATATACACTCATTTAAATAAAAAGATTGAGTTGGGTTGAAATATTAAACCAAATACACTTCGAAATTACATATCTTTAATGTTTTTTGAATAATTTCTTTGCATTTGTGAATAAGGATTGTGTTTTTATTATACTTTGAAAGTTTATTTTAGTTTGGAACTAATTTAAACGGATCAACCCGGTGACAACCAATTTATCTGAAAGGTTGGATTGGGTTGAAAATATTCACCTATTTAAATAAAAAGATTGAGTTGGGTTGAAATATTCAACCCAATTAATAAATGGGTTGAACCCAAATCCAACCCAGATCGACCCATTGTCAACTCTAATGACAAGTATAAGAAATGTTTTATTTGAAAAATGGTTTAAATATAGGAAAATAAAAGGTTTTATTTGAAATAAACAAAGAAACATTACGATTTAATAGAAGCTAAACAGAAATTCAAAATGTGGCTTGAAATCCGAAACAATAATCTATAACATAGCATCTTAAGAAAGATGATCATTTTAAAAACTATCGTTTATTAAGGCCATTATTTTATGATTATCTATAGTAAAATTAATATTAATTATTTCTTAAGAATACAAGGAGGTATCGTAAATTTCTATGCTTATTTACATTCTTCTTCTGTCGGTTCTTCCCCCTCTTTGTTTCGTATGATCCCCGCCATCCTATGTGATTCTACTTCTTCTTCTACAAGCATCAATCACAATTCTCTGTAATTTCACGGCGGAGATCCAATTTCAACGTTACACTAGCGGCCGTCGGAAGGTAGGGCCGGTCGAACCTTTTTACAGACGGCTCAATCTTATCCACCATGAATACCGAGTAGTAAGTCCATCTCTCTCGGTCTCTTTCAAATCTCATTACATTGTTTTTTTTATTTATGAATTTAAACTTTTCATTAGTCCATTCAATTTTTTGTCTTCGTGAAATCATTCTTTGGATCTGCTTCGATTCTTATTTTTAGCAACGGTGATAATTTTCTTAGGGATTAATTTGTCATTGTTGTGGATTTGGATGATCAAAGTAGATCTCTCTCTCAATTTTTCGTGTGATCGATGTCTTATGGATATATTGAACGACTTAATGTGTAAGAGTAGTATGTGTAGATAATTCGTCTCTGTTCCGGGATCGGAGTTAACGCCAATGCATTCTAATGTACTATGATTAATCGATTAATGGTGAATTATGAAATGAAGTTTTAGTGCGGATTGAGAATGATAATCAATGATTCTGTAATCTGGTTTTGATCAACAGCTATATATCTTCTTATTTCAAACACTTATTTCATGAGTTAAGTTGCAACATGAGCATACCTGAATAAGTTCCAATATTTACTATACATAACACATGTTATATGCCTTGCAGCGATTATTTGTTCAAGCTTTTGCTGATTGGAGATTCAGGAGTTGGCAAATCATGTCTTCTGCTCAGATTTGCTGTAAGAAAATCATGTCATTTATGATTAGTTCATTTCTTTATCAACACCTTGTTTTTTATTTTCTAATCTTGATCTCTTTTGTACAGGATGACTCATATCTTGACAGTTATATCAGCACAATCGGTGTTGACTTTGTAAGAGTTTTAGTTTATATCATAATGTCATATCAATTAAAACATACACCATTTTGTTATGGTTATAATCAAGTTTTAATTTCTTTGTTATCTTTATAGAAAATCCGCACTGTGGATCAAGATGGAAAGACCATTAAGCTTCAAATTGTGAGCATTTTCTACAAATATATAAATTTAATCTTCTAATTGCTTCATAAACCAAAATCATATTATCTATCTGGCACATGCAGTGGGACACTGCTGGACAGGAAAGGTTTAGGACCATTACTAGCAGCTACTATCGTGGGGCCCACGGCATTATCGTATGTTTCTTTAAACAAAAAATTAAGATATCCTGCATCTTTTACCACTTTTTAATGTATCTTGTATTTGGATTTTTTGCAGATAGTCTATGATGTTACTGACCTAGAAAGTTTCAACAATGTGAAACAATGGTTGAGTGAAATTGATCGCTATGCAAGTGAAAATGTAAACAAACTTCTAGTTGGTAACAAATGTGATCTTGCTGAAAGTAGGGCTGTTTCATTTGATACTGCAAAGGTACACATTTTTATTTCTTTGTCCCCCTTCTATATTTGTGGTTGTGTGTGTGCATGATTTTTTTGTCCCTCTTTGATTATTAGGAATTTGCGGATGGAATTGGCATTCCATTTATGGAAACTAGTGCCAAAGATGCCACCAATGTGGAGCAAGCTTTCATGGCTATGTCTGCTGATATCAAGAACAGGTATTCTCCCACATTTCATGGTTATTCTCACTATAATGAATTATAAGTTCAAATTTCTGTGAACTTATTAGTCATTCAGTTCATGGTGTTATTCTCACTACTTTGCTTATTCCATTCCATTCATTAGTCATTCAGTTCCATCCAACCAAACACACCCAAAAAGTTATCCTAATATCTGTGACAAATATGTGTTAAATTATTTTTATAAATAAAGATTTTATGTGGGTCAAACTTCAGGATGGCAAGTCAACCTTCAACAAACAAGAGGCCACCTACTGTGCAGATCAAAGGGCAACCAATTAGCCAAAAGAGTGGCTGCTGCTCATCTTAGGTTATTCATTCATCACCAATTCATTTCCAGGTTTTTGCAAGTCTTTATGATTATTATTATTATTATTATTATTATTATTTTGGTTGTAAACTGTAAGGATTGTTTACTGCTAGTGTTCATTTGCCTGCAGTTACAATCTGTTTGCAACCATAAATCCATTTCTGTTTGAATTTTGGCAGACTTATAAATAGTATTTTTTGAATAAGATACCAATTGGGTAGTCTCTGTTTTATTTTATAATTTCCTTGTGATAATGGTTTATTGTCCCTTGGTTACATGTATTTTCTTTTTGACTTATAATCTTAATGGGTTAAACATTTAATCGTGACAACTATGCATGGTTGTTTGTTTTTACTTTATCTGGACATAGTCACTTAATGGATTAAACCCAAAAGACATGGCTTGATGTATTAAGACACTAACACTTAACCTATTTGCCCTGTTTGTTTTTCTTCCCAACTCCCCTCATATTATTGAAATTGATAAATATTGTGAAATTTGTTTTTCTAGGAATGTAAGGTTAAAATAGTCATTTAGTCACATTCGAACTATTTATTCAGTATAGAAAAGAAATATATGCTATATAAACAATATTTTATCCAGACGTCCTTGCTCATTAAATGACGTTACTCATATGGGATTTAATGAGGGAAAACCAACAACTTCGTGGTTTGATTTAGATTTTTATAGTCGAGTTTGGCATGCCATAAGGATGTTTGGAAATTTTCTAATAAGCTAATTTCACAAAATTTAAGTATTTTAAATAACTCTGTAAATGCTTCGAGAATTATTTGAATAACAAAGTTCATTATTTAACCATATTAAAAATTAGTAATATGACATAGATTTGTAATTATTTTTTAACATGATGAGTTAATGCGATAAGATCATAAAATAATACTGTAATTTTTAGTCCATCTATCTGTATCGGTTTCTTCTGTATATAAATCATCTATAATATGGGAGTCACATATCATTTTGGTGCATGTTGTCACCATGTTAATAACCTAATTAAAAAGCTAAACATATATCCACAACATGACTGCATTTCACATAGCTTATTTATGAGACCTACTTATTATACTATTAACTTTGAGCTTATATTAATAAGACCACCATAATCATTGAAAAGGCTCTTATTGTAAATTTATAAGTTTTGAATGGAAAACTCCCACTATAGAGAACAAACTTTTCTTTATAGTTTTTTGGAAATGAATTTTTAAAATCCATGATATGGTGTAAAGTTTCAGTTTACATATATTTAATCATGTATCTAAACAAAAGTTATGCCAAAAACGAGTTCACTCTGAATGGATAGCAGGCCTGAAGCTTGCTTGGTCCAAGTGACTTATCAGGGAATTTTCATATTTACTTGTTTTAGCCACAATATTTTAAATGGAAATAAGCTTATTTTTTCCAAGAAGTTCCAGAAGTATATGCTCTCGAGGTGCGATTTGTGTCTGTGTGTGTGTAAATGATGATTAGAAGGTGAATTCAAGTGTTCTTAGCAAGGACCAACACTTCAAAGCTTGGATTAAAGGTATGAATGCATAAGGCATGTATTGTTTGGTACAAATCAAGTAATTATGGTTTATCCATGAATTTCAAATGTTAGTAATGAACTTGCACGTGGAATTAAAGGCGAATTAGGAATAATTAAGTGGTATTAACATTGTTTCTAGCAACAAGTACATATATTGAACTTAAACTATGGGTTTTCATGGTGGTTAGGTCAAGAACCACGTAAATAAGCCTCAAAGTGTTATGTATTGGTAATTTGATGTAAGAACATCTATGTTGATGGTATATTATAAATAGTTTGTCATGAGAATTGGAAGGTCACTACGACTATACTACGGATGATTCTCATAGATAGAATGTTAACTTTAAGAAGTAAAAAATTAAACTATTAGGCTAGTTGTGGTTATTTACATCTTGAGATGCTAGGAATTGAAATGGTTAGCACATGGAGTGTTAAGAATTCAGTTGATTGGGAATTGGACATTACTTAGATTGGGAATTGGACATTACTTAATGTGTATTTAGATAAGAAAATGAAGTGAATGATTGGTAATTGAATGGTAAAATTCTATCATTTAACTTTACGGGACAAATTGTGAAGCATCTAATTAATGTAAATGATGGTGTATAGAAGTTGAAAAAGCATGTTTACTTAAGTATTCAACTTACATAAAAAAATATAATAATGTACTAACCTTACAAATGAGGACTGACATACAACAATTTTTCTCCATACACAACAATTTGTGCTTTAATCTTGTATTGTACAATTTCATAAAACATAAATTTTTGTGTATGGAGAAAAATTGTTGTGTACGAATCACTTCCCAAAACAAAAAGTGTTATAATAACATAGACAGTTAAAGAAGTCGGCATAAAAGGGAATTAGGGTGCTAGTATTAGCATTCATAGACTATAATGATAATGAATGCATGTATTCATATATATGGACATATTTCGAGCTCGAGGTTAGACAAATAATCTCTTTTTATAATAATAAAGCATATGATAAAAGTATGAATGGAATTGTTATGAAATGTCCCCATTATTGAAAGCTTTATGTTATTACACCATTATGCATTGCATTTCACGATGTGTGATTGAAATTGTAACGTCCGGGTTTCGAGGCTAAGCATTTTTAGACGATGTAATAGTCTATGTCAACTATTGTAACTCTTTTGATGTAATAAAGATGAAATATTTTAGTATTTTGTGAATTATGTGAATTTATGTGCTTATTATTTAATTATAAATGTATAATTAATAAAGAATAAAAATAAGCGTCAAAATTAAAGTATGAGATAAGCCCGATATCTTTACATAAAGTCGTAGTGGTCGAAACAAGGATTCCGGAGATATAAAGAACGCCGAAAATCCGAGTTATAACGAAGAAGTTATGACCCGTCGAAGTTTCATGATGAAACCGACACGATACAGGGAAGCGTAAATAGTGAATTTACGATAGAGCGATTTTTAGCCTTAGCGATCTAAACGGAAGTCGTAGAAAACGTTAAACCGAGAGCGTCCATAAAAAGAACGCCCAAATCTGACTTCGTATGAGGAAGTTATGATTTTTCAAAGTTTCGGCTTAACAGTGTACAACCCGAAGTTCGAATATTAGATCGAACGGTTTTTAGCCGACACAACCTAAACGAGAATCAAAGATCTCGTTAATAGTAGCACAACGATAAAAAGACAGACGAAAACGGACGTCGGATGAGGAAGTTATGAATTTTTAACGGACCAATCCTGTCCCGGCCTGTTAAAAATATAACTTTTAAAATAAAGTCAAAATTAGCCGACGGAGTCTAAACGAAAGTTGTAGAGTGCGTTCCCGCCTACGTGTGGATATAAAGAACGTCGAAAACGGAGCTCGTATGTGAAAGATACGAATTTTTAAAGTTTAGACTCGAATTTGCGAAATTTGTTGCTCGATTGATGACGTGGCATAATCTGGACCGTCGCTTGCTGATCACGGCTCGCTTCGGATGAAGGACACGTCGCCTTCGTTACGCCCCGCGTCCGAAATTGAGTACGCCCGGCGTACTGATCTGATCCACTTCCGAGAGTAAGCGCGTGCGAGCCAGCTGGATCCGAGCTGGTGATCTTATCCGAAGCCTACGCCCCACGTAGACGGCTAGACGCCCAGTGTAACCGAGAGGCTTCGCGACTATAAATACCTGCGAGGGTCTCCGGGTTTTTCACACCATTTTCTTTCCCTCTCTAAATAACTTTCTCTCTATAAATAACTTTCTCTCTCTAAGGGTTTTAACCCTCCCCTAAGCCTAGGTGATCCCCTAGCACCCTAAGGAAGCCCCGAGGCTCCTGGAGTCCCGAGAAAAAGGGTCTTTCGGTTTCGGAAACGCTGCTCCGAGCAAAGCCCGGTTTTCTTTAAAATCCGCTGTAAGTGAGCTATGACTACGCAATTTTTAATATAACTTTTAAATAATTATAGTAATGTTATTAGGTCCTTAAAATAATTCTTTGGGCTATTATTATGAGTTATATTGAGTGTTATTTAACGCTTATATAATAATAATAATAGTCAGACTATTAATTAGTCGCGGTTAACGTTAAAACTAAACCCTAGTGGTATTAATACTAGGTTTTGACCAAGGAAAAATTGTTTTGAGATAACGAAGTGCTGTTCGAGTACCGAGTCACCACCTAATCAGGTGAGTGCATAGTTACTTTCATCTTACACATAGATATGAAGTATTTTATATAAATTACGTGCTATGTGTGCATATTATCTGAATACTTGCTGTCTATGTTGGATGAATGATTTTTATACACGTTTTTCATGATTTAAACTGTATATGTATTTTATATCTACAAAAATGTTGGGGTAATACATGGGTAGATGTAATAAGATGATGTGTGATAAAATGATGAGAGGCCTCGATGTTGTTGGTGATCCAGTCATCTAGCGGAGTATAGATGACGACCACAGACTCTTCTAGACAGTCCAGTGGAACGCTAGCAGGCTCGCAACCTGTAGGTGTTTGTGAACGATGTGTTCACCGGTGTACTCCATCCCCCTCATGGTTGCCTTTAGGACATTTATTGCTAAGGAACCCCCTTAACAGTAGTGTCCATCCCGATGATGATCCTTAGGCTAGGTCCCTTATGATAGGTGTTTAGGGACGTAAAGTGAGGATAACGGGAACGGGTAATCGGGTTATTGTTGATTGATGAAATTAATAAACTTATTTATTGTGGGTTGAAAACCCTATGTGCTCACCAGGCTCCCAAGCCTGACCCACTCAGTTTCATGTATTACAGGTAGTGGCGCTCGAGCATAGATGTGATGTTTTGGATGAGGGATTACGGATATAGGCCTGTAGATATGAAATAATGTAGTAAGGCTTATATTGTACTGTTTATGCTTTTGATCTGTATCGAACATGACATCCCGAGTCTTTTAATGAAATACATTTCTTTGGAAATGCTTTTGATAAATCTTTATCATATTTTGTTTTGGGACAAATTCCGCAACACTTTTATTTAAAATGTTACTCTGATTTTCAAACAAGCATAAACAAAATCGGTGTTTTCTGGCCGTGAAAATGAGGATGTCACAGAAATGATAAACGATAAAAGAAAGTATAGACACTTGATGTCCCAAAGAATGGGATCCGGAAGACTATCGAGGTGGTACCTCTATTCACGATGTAGATGTTTATGATTAGGATGCCATGATAGGTTGATATGTTCTTTTTATCTCGACTCGGACATGA